CCAATATTTGTGCGGGCCGTGGGCGAGAGCCCAAAGGGGTTGGATGTCAGGAGCGGTCCTTGTTTGTCCTGTCCCTAAATGGATAATTGAGTTTGGCTCGCATGAATCTGTGAACATTTAGGAATTAGATTGCCCGGGGGAAGAGATGGATAGCAACCACAGTTAGTGCATCAAGGTGGGGGATTTTCCGGACAATGGGTTTACAAAAGAAAGCGATTTGTATTAGGGTTATTTTGGGGTTTTTTAAGTCAATTGTAGAGGTGTCGACTTTTGAATACAACGGATTTACGGGATTTAAATATATTGTTGCATACTTTTAGACCAGCGGTCGGCACACACATACGTTGACATTTTGTTTTATATTTGTGTGAGTAATTTGCACTGGGCAGCTCATCGATGTGTGTGTGCAGACCGCTGTTCTACGTTATACATGTGCGAGCAGCGCGGCGGCAGAACAAAACCCTATGCTCACTTAATAGGGCGCTGCCGACCGCTGTTTTAGACACATTCATTTAAGAGAGCTGATTTATAAAGTTAAGGGAATTGGTAATGGGTGAAGTTATTTAATAAATCAGGTTTCTAGGCAATGAAAAAAAGATGACATCCTTCGGATTCTTTGTTGCATACTTTTAGACACCTTTATTAGTGATATCTGTAGAAATCTTGTAATTGGAATTTAACAAAAATTTCAGTTACTCTTAAATTGGAAATACCTCGAAATGATTTAGTAATTCTTAGGTTATCAATGTAAAGTGCCATTTCATCTATTCTTTCATGATAGTTGAATTTAATTTAAAGAAAATAAGCGCCAAACACTCGAACCCCTAAGCAAAAATTCCGCTCCTGTGAACTTAGAACAAAAATAAATCTGTTTGCCAAACAGTTATTGCTCTTGTTTCTGCGCCGCCGCCACAAGCACCTCCTGCGGGTCCTCCTTCAAAACTAATGCCAACTCCGGTCCTTGGATACGCTCCTCACCTTTCCTCTTCGTTTCGTTCCGGCTCCTTGCAATCCTTGCCATCCTAGCCATCCTTACCATCCGAATCCCCACGCAGCTCGTCCCGGCAATATGTGCGCTCATTTTATGCCTTGCATTTGGCAACGGCTCAATAATTGGTCAGTAGATTGGGCTAGTGGGCGTTCAAGTGGGTGTGCAAGTGGGCGGGGGAGGGGCATTCGAGTGGGCTGGAGATTGGAGGTTGGAGGGCCATGGTCCGTGGGCTCGTGACTCAGGTGCCCGCAAAGCTTTCTATAAATTCAAAGTCCATGGCAGTGATTATGCAAGTTGGCTAAGCCAGCGGCCATGAGGATGCACTCGTCCTGGTTTTCGAGGAATCTGGATTCCCGCCTGTGGCGCTGGAGCAGCAAAGCGAAGCGAAATTGAATATGGGTTATGAATGGCACGCATCTGCAGTTTCACGGACCCACGGACCCCAGGATGCCTCTCCGTTCCATTTATATTTGCATCTTCCTTTCCGCCAGAGAAACAAACAATGTCCGGGTTCCAGACCCCCATGGCTAGCCGGAGTGCTCCGGAATTTATGCCTGCCGAAGGCGACGTATTCCCATTATTAAATAAATGGAGGATTGCCAGGTACAATCTTAAAATACTAGAAAATAATTCAAAAAGGTGTTATCATTAATAATTGGAAGACAATTAAAGTGATAGATTAAGATAAATGGTATACCATATTCTTAAAATATTAAATACTCATAAATAAAACTAGGTTATCCGGTAAATATATACTTGAAAATAGCTCAAAAAGGTATTATCATTAAAAAACAATTAAAAAGATCTTAATACTCATAAATAAAATAAACAAAACTAGCTTATCCGAAATACTTGAAAATAAATCAAAAGTTATTACCATTAAAATTGAAGGCCCAATTAAAATATATGCTTTTATTACAGTTCTCTACTTTTTAATACTTATAAATAAAACCCCAAAAACTAAACTCTTTCGCAGGTGAAGCCAACCAGACATTTGCATCTCTCCGCCTACCAAATCAGTTGCGAATGAGCCGGAAAAATCGCAGCCACACGCCCATTGTTCTGGTCTTCTCAGGCAAATCAATACCGCCGCTTAATGGTACATTGCACCTCGGAGGGAAGGAGGCGTGGCCCGGCCTTTGATCCCTGCGCCCCACGCCCTATCCATATCCATATCCATATCCCTTACCTTTACCTAGCCCTTGTACAGGTGCCCCTGCCTGGCCATTGATTAAAGTGGTTCCTTTGCAAATTTATGTTCGGAATATTAACCGAATTGCTCCCCGAGGAAAACTCCCCGGCCACTCTCACTCGAAAAAGGAAAAACTTTTTCCACAATGTACTCGTGTATTGCACACACACACACACACGAACACACATATATGGGCAATCGCATGAAAAAGGGGCCAAGGCAACTTTTTTAACAGTTTTTTGGATTTTGGAATACAAATTATGTAAGTAATCTCAATTTATTGATATATGGAGATGCATGTTTACACGTGGCCAGCATTGTCGCTATTTTGGAATGGGATAGGTAGCTGGGGAAAGGATATTATAAGTGGGTGGGTAGGCCATATTCGGGGCCATGTCTCCCCAAGTGTGACCCTTATGAATGGGGCAACTTTTGTCTTTCTTCGTCGCATTTTATACCCTCGCAGCATTATAATTTGCCATGAATATATGAAAACAGTTTGTAGAAGTTCAACCGTTGCGGGGTCCTTGGTCCACCGCCCACCACCCACTTGGCTGTGGATTGTCAGCCTGGGAAATGGTTTATGTAATGGGATTCATAACTTGTTTACCTGCCCAGCAGGGTTATATCTGGTCTAGGAAAGTCTGAATGCCGGAGAATGTCCAGAGGACGCAGCCTTTTAATTTTAATTAAACTCCTCGAATTGCCATAAAAGATTTTTGCGTGAAGCTGTGCCCAATGATTTATGGCTCTTTCAAGGTTACTCGCCCATTATAAATTCATGTAAATGCCCCTGCATTTTTGGTCATTATTCAGCTCATTATTTTCGCAAAGCCAAATTCCAAATTAGAGCAGATCATCGCATAAAACCGAACTTAATTACCTGAAATTATGATGTATGCCCTAGTCCACCCCAAATGCGCCTGATTTATTTTTATGGCCTAGTGCTTTCCAATCTAATCCCTGGCTAGTAGTAAATTTTACAGCTCTTCATGCCTGCATTTCAAATGTAATCCTTTATTTAAACTTGATTAATTGTAGTTTATTAATTCATGATAAATTCACTAAATTTTATGGTTAGCCAGCTTAACACTTAGATATATATAATCACGAACTTCTAGAGGTTAACCAGTCCGAAGTCGGATATTAATGGATAAAAAAGTGTTAGTCACTATATTGAACTGTTATGCACTTTAATGGTGAATAAAACCCGGAAAGTCCGTTTTTGAATTCCTTTTAACCCCACATAAATTAAACCCAGTCTAAAACAAGAAAGGAAGCTAGCTTCGGCCAGCCGAAGCTTATATACCCTTGCATATAATTCCTATTAATCACTAATTTTCTGATCGTTCCTATGGCAGCTTTATGATATAGTAGTTCGATATTGATAAAATTAAAATCGAAATTCGAAAACATTTAAAAAAAGTCATATCCCAGAGTAGAAGAGAATACGATAAAAACCAACGAAGCAATAATTTATTTCATATTATATTCCCATTAATTTTTCGATCGTTCCTATGGCAGCTATATGATATAGTCGTCCGATTTTGAAAAAAATGTATTCGAAATTCAGAATTAGATAAAAAATGGCATTTCCAAAAGTAGGAGGTTATAGGTTCAAAAACACCCAAGATATAATTATACCCTTGTAGAGGGTATTATAATTTCAGTCAGATGTTTGCAACGCAGTGAAGGAGACGTTTCCGACCACATAAAGTATATATATTCTTGATCAGCACCAATAGCCGAGTCTATCTAGCCATGTCCGTCTGTCCGTCTGTCCGTTTCTATGCGAACTAGTCTCTCAGTTTTAAAGCTATCGCGATGAAACTTTCCCGAAAGTCTTCTTTCTATTGCAGGTAGTACATATGTCGAAGCGAGCCGGATCTGACCACTATATCTTAAGGCTCCCATAGAAATATTCAAACATATATAAGAAAATTCTTGTTAATTTGTAGGAAGTAGGCGTTTTAATTCTTGACTACTTAAAAACAAAATTCAAAAATAGGAACACTGAATCTGGAATCCCTGGAACTGCACCGAGTGAGTATTACTTTATCTGCAAGGGTATATAAGCTTCGGCTGGCCGAAGGTAGCTTCCTTTCTTGTTTTTTTTTAAATTTTGTTCCCCGATTATTCCTATGGGAGCTATATGATATAGCTGACCGATCCGGCTCGTTCCGACTTATATACTACCTGCAATAGATATAAGACTTTTGGGAAACTTTTAGCCCGATAGCTTTAAAACTGAGAGACTAGTTTGCGTAGAAACGGACGGACAGACGGACGGACAGACGGACGGACAGACGGACATGGCTAGATTGACTCGTCTAGTCATGCTGATCAAGAATATATATACTTTATAGGGTCGGAAACGTCTCCATCACTGCGTTGCAAACTTCTGACTGAAATCATAATACCCTCTGCAAGGGTATAATGAACATTTAATACACCTTATCACCATTTTAATATTCAATTTTCAAATAGCGAAGTTTCTACCCAACCAACAAATCCAACTGTTTCCATTAGCGAAGTTAGGAACCATTAGAAAGAACCATTGCAATGTAGATTTCTAAAACGTTTAGAAGTTACTCTCTTTTAGGAAAAAAACTCATTAAAACTAGTAATTTAAGAACTTAATTGTTTTTCTTAAAAAAAAAACTCGTATCATTGCATATATTTTTGAAAAGCGCGCCATTCTTTAGTGTGTACGGTCATACCGTCAACAAAGTATCGAATATATATCGATTTATGTTCCAGCTCTATGATGGTATCGACTGTTTGAGATTTTTTAGGGGAAAAGCAACGGATTCATCTGGCAACTCTGGAACATGGGGAAAAAATAAACTACAACAAAACCTTTAATTAAACTGGGAAAGCGCTGCGTTACATCAATTGCTAAAGCCGAATTTGGATCATCGCTGAAACCGGAAGTATAGAGATCCGGCGTCTGGAGGCGGCGGACCGGAAGGCATCCAGAAATCGCACATTTTCGCCCACGTCCAAGTGAAATTGGTAAGGTGACCACAGGCACAAGGAAATGCTCTCTTCTCCGCTTTTCCCCCGATTCCCCCCTCTATCCCATCCACAAATCGCAGCATGCAGAAACAACACAAAATTAATCGTGTGCACATTTTTTGCAGATTTTTCACCCGGCAGCGGAATCTCGCCCAAAAACAGATTGCCCCGAAATAAATCGAAATAGTTCCGGTTCCGGCGTGCAAAATGCCAGCGGAAGATCAGCGGCCACAGTGAGGCCTCCCTAGAGCGAACTTCGCCAGGTGGGTGAATATATGTAAATGGTTGAATGGATCGGAGAGTCCAAGTGCATGTGCAAATGGACTGAAAACACGCTGCAATCAACAACACTCGCTGAAGTTGCGCAGGCGACGCAAAAAAAGAGACAGACTAACAAAACACGCACGATATCGTGACACTTTGCATTCTTATACATAGACTTGCCATTTGGCGAATTCGTCACATTTCGCACACAGCGAGTGTTCTTGTTATGGTTCATATGTACATAGGTATGTATGTATGTATGTATGTACTATATCATATCAGATTTGCGGTTTCCGAATCTCTCTGGCTAACTAACTTTATGGGTTACATACTCCCACATCTCATTAAGTACTTATGTATGTATTTAGTTCTAAAGTCCAGAATCCTAGCTATTTAACCATTTGTATAATAGTATTAATTGATCTCTAATCTGTTTCTTCAACATACATACATACATATATCGAATATGTGTCGGATCTTTCCATTTATTTTATTATATTAAAATCTTAAATTTAATATTTTAATTTCCTATTCATTTCAATGAGATTTTATTCTGATGTTATTTTATAATAGTATTATAGTATAATAGATCTCTAATCTGTTTTTTCAGTACACATACATATATATCCAATATGTGTCAGATTCTATTTTATTATATTAAAATCGTAACTTAAATTTGTAAATTTCTTAAAAGATTTTATTCTGATTTTATTTTAAATCTAATTATTAGCATTTTCTGTTTACAAGACATCTTCGATTTGCTATTTTAAGACATGTACTCTAAATAATACACAAGGATACTTTGAACAAGAAATGTATTTTTAGGTATAACAGATTTAGCATTATAGCTAATACTGTAGTTTTCCGACAGTAAGACCAGAAAGCATTAAAACTAACTTAATAAACCATAACCAAATAGGGCTTACAGGGCAAAAGGTGAATGTTAATAAACTTGGCGAGTCGTAAATAGTGGTTAGAACTATAAAGCAGGGGTTTTTCCAACAAATCCTAATAAACAAACCCCTTTCAGTCTCTCGCACGTAGCATGGAAAGCACGGACAGCAGCGACAGCAGTGGGGAGAGTTTGAAATCCATTCCCCGACCGGACTTCGAGGCCCTCTCCGCCATCGACAGCCCCCAGCCGCAGTTGCAGTTGCAGTTGCAGAGCTCCCTGCCGGATGGCCACATCGAGATGGAGTCGGTTACCGTGCCCAGCAAGCGTCAGAAGTACGTGGTCAGTGCTCCGCCGGGATCGGCCAATGGCAGCAGCCACTCCTCCAGCTCGAGTCCCTCGAACGTCAACGTCGGCTCCTCGCTCACCATGAAGCTCACGAAGGTGCAGTCCTCCACGCCCAACAACAACAGCAGCAGCAGCAGCAGCAAGGCCAAGGTGGCCAAGGAAATGCTGGCCCTGCAGCGCTCGCACATCGAATCCGAGGTGCTCAGCAACTTTGTGACCGGGGTCTCCAAGTTGAAGCGCCGAAAGTCGCGCCACGCGCCCGGGAATCTCGCCTCGCAGGCATCCGGCGGAGAGCTGTCCCGCAGCTTGAATGCCGCCACGGAAAACAAGAAAACATCTCTGAAAATGGCGCTCAAGCGGAGCAAGAGCATTCCGGCTCCCGTCCTGGACTCGGATGAGGACTGGCAGGACGAGGACATCGACACGGCCATCAAGGGCTGCCGACCGCGAGGTCGCTCGATGGCCTGCGACGATGGCGAGCGGCTGGCCGAGCTGAATGTGGAGGACAGCATCAGCGATGCCCCGGAGCCCATGCTCACCCGCTGCCGGTCGCGCAGCAAAACCCTCTCGCTGAGCAACAGCTGGAGCAACGAGGAGAAGGCGCCGCGCCGGGGCAACCTGCGCAGCGAGAACGAGGACTTCGCCAAGAAGCACAGCGCCTTCCTCGATCGCGTTATCCACGACGACCAGGAATCGGAGCTGACGCTGAACACCTCCGGCGAGGGCGATCCCGATCCCGATCGCGACATTGAGTGGCCCGTCGGTGAGCTGGAGGACCACAGCTCGCTCTTCTCGAATACCACCGACTCGAAAGCGGCCGAGCGACTGCTCCTCATGTACGAGGAGCCACCCACGGTGAGTGGTTGAGCTATTAGAACTATTTCCGAATTAGTCATACTTTTCTATATTGAACTTTGTATTTTTGTTCATCGTGGTGTCTATTGGGCAGGCATTCTAAACTCGTATATATTTAAATACTTTCCCAATAAGATTTTACTTGCTGAAATCTAAACTAATATAAAATTGGACCTCTAAAAACGGTCAGTAGCAAATTTCACCCAGAACGGATTGACATAAAAATCTAAAAAAAATCACATTAATTATTAAAATAATATAGCAATTAAAATATATCTCAATTTTGCAATTAGTTACATGTTTATCGAATAACAACGAAAGGTTTTGTTAATAATTGATTTTATATATATAAACTAGTTTATATTTTCTGCCCCATGAAATGCCACGTTTTGAAAACTGCTTCCCTCCGCTGACGAATAAATTAACAAGAATAAGTAATAGCTTTAGAAGGTTAATATCTCGCCTTCCTCTCTTTCAGCCCGGCTGGGATCCCTTCTGCTGGAAGTGCCGCCAGTGCGGCAAACTGATGGCCTGCTCCAAGTGTCTGCGCTCCTTTCCACACCTACTGCGTGCGCCCCGCCACCACCAAGTTCGACTCCTCGTGGAAGTGCCCCGAGTGCCAGGTGATCGAGGCAGCGCCCAAGAGGTGACCTTCTTGCATTCTCCTCATAAAGTGCTTTATTCATAGCTTCTTTGTCTTTGCAGGCTGCGGCGCAATGGTGTTTCCGTGGATCTGCTCAGCCAGCTGCTTTCCTTCGCCCTGGACCGCATGAAGCATGTGCGCGGGGTGAGTGAATAGCTGATTTTGCAATTTGTATGTACAGTATCTCGTTCCTCGTCGAGATTCCATTATCTTCCCGCACAAGAGTCACGCAAACATATTGTGTTCCCCAGCAGACACACACTTTCGCCCAGAATAATAGGTTTTAACATCAATAATTATTGATTAATCAATGATGTAACCCCTAAAATCAAGCAGAAAAGCTTGCCAATTTAACTTGGTGCATCCATCGATATGGAATCTTAGGGGTGGCATAGATTGGTGGCTATTATTGTGTCCGCAGCTGCAATTGATATGGGTTTGCGCTCTGTAGAGCCCATTTTTCTCTCGCTCTGTGAACGCGAGCAGATAGACACCTGAAATGTCTCGCTGGTTTAGTTGGTTTGTGGGTTCGTAAACTCGTGGGTTCTTGGGTCCCAAGTTCACTCTGCGTTCCCTTGACCCTTTGGGCCACAGCCCCACATCTCTACATCCGCCATTCGCTCTGGTTGAACGGCAGATGTGGGCCGGTCAGACGGAGCTGTTTAACGACTCACGTGGTTTATTTCTCTGCGCTTACTTATCTGCCTGGCGATTCCGATGGCCAAAGGCCTGCCTGTGTGGCTAATGGATGGCTGCGCTTGTGCTTGTGTTCGTGAGGGCCTCGCCTCGTACATGATAATGAGGTTTAATGGTCTGAGCTGCGCAAATAGTCTATGAAATTGTAGGTTATTTTGCTAGAAAACAGTAACTGTATTGTAAGATCCGCTTAAACAACTAAAAACTACGAATATTTTTATATATTAAATATTTTTTATTCAATTTAAAGTTAAAGCCTTGAAAATTCAGAGTTTAAATCCTACTACTCGATTTATAAAATTGTTTTTAAAAATGCTAAAAAGCAAGATTTTTTATTTTCTCTGTATTAAATTATGTCTGGAATACATCTGGGGCTTTTATGAAACCCATAATATTTGCCATCATAAAATAGGAAATAAACGATGCCTTAGTACAAATACATTCCATTAAATATGAGTAAATTAAAGCAACTTGTTCTCATTAAATATGTCTGCAAGTGAAATAAATGAATTAATTAGTTTATTGTTATCGCCGCTTGGGCAGCTCCAGCATTAAAAGCAATTAAATATATACAAGACCAAGCAGAATGGATAAACATACCAGTATAAAGTTCTTCATACTTACAACTGCGGTGAAAATATTAGCACAAATTTTACAGAAAATATTTTAGTATTTGTATTTGAATTGTAATTTATATTACCTTGAGTTGTACCTAAAATGTGGTATAATAAATATCCTGGTGCTTAAAACTTAAGTTATAAGAATTAAGAATTACAATTAATTATTTGGTTTTACTAATTGATAGTACCTTGTGCTTAATATATGACTATGAAAATCCATTAAAATATAATTTTGATAATAATTATAGTTTACTTTTCGATAATACTAATTTAGTTAGACTATAACTAATTGTGCCCAGCTGTAAACCATTACTATCCAAATTTGTTTGTGCCTTTGTCTCCTCACAATTGGGTATATATTTTCCCAATTGGAAACCATGGTTTCGCATTTACTTGTACTGTAGAACTCGAGCAAGGAACCACAGATAGCAGTAACTTATTTTGGCTCAGCTCTCAATTCCCTCCCTTACCGAAAGACCTCTTATTTACCCATCCCCCCTCATGAGACCTGGGTGGTATATACACACATACATAGGTTTATTGACGTACCTGGGGAAAAGCGAGAACTTGTTTTCAAACGATAGAAGCTCGTCGAACGAGCGAGCGCTCTCTTCGCCGCGCAACGAATTCGCAACCGCCACTCATCGCCCCTTTCTCCTCACATCCATTTGAATCCCCAGGCCCACAAGTTGCGTTCGCCGCAAGAGGTCTTTCCGCTGTCGTACAAGAAGTACTTTGTGAACCCCGTGAGCTTCGACAGCCTGGCGCAGTGCATCCGTGATGGGGCCTATCAGAGCACAGAGGAGTTCCTCGGCGAAGTGAAGTGGATCCAGCACAACGCCCTCATCCTGGACGCAGGCGGTGAGTTGTTTAAAGACATTTCCTTCCATTTCAAACTAATCTAATATATTTAATCTCTTGCAGATGCCAAAGTGGAGCAGGCCTCGAAGGCCGTGGTGAAGGTGTGCCGGCAGGAGGCCAACGAAATCGACACCTGCCCCGAATGCTACCTGAACGCCAACTCCAGCGACGAGTGGTTCGTGAAGGTGTGCCGGCACCCGCATCTCCTGCTCTGGGCCAAGCTAAAGGGCTTTCCCTACTGGCCCGCCAAGGCGATGGGCTCGAGCAACGCGGCGCTGGTGAATGTGCGCTTCTTTGGCAAGCATGATCGGGCCTTTGTGCCCGTCAAGGACTGCTTCTTGTATTCAGCCCAGAATCCAAACACGCAAACCAGCCGAAGATCAGCCAGGGACCTGGCTGAATGCGTCCGCGAGGTGGAGGTTCACATTGAGCACATAAAGCGAAAGATTGGCGCCTTCAACTACGCCGCTTTCCGCACCGCCTACGATCCTCTGGAGGAGCAGCAGCAGCTGGAGCAGATGATGCCCGGCGTGTATGCGGCCATAGACAGGGAACTAGAGCCCGCGAACAAGACGCCGCTGCAGTTCCTCATCCGCAAGACGGCCGACGATAAGCTGTCAATAGTGAAAAAGACAAAGGCCACGGAATCGGGCAACGAATCGGATCAATCGCCCAGTCCCACGAAGAAGCTTCCGGAGGTGGACAGTGGCGCAGGCTCCGGATCCGGAGCGAGCGATCATTCTAAGCTGAAGAGCAACAACTATGAGGTTATATCCAGATCTGGCGAGTCTCTGACCGACTCGCGCTGCAAGGTGCTGCTCAAGAGGAAATCCCTGGCTGCCAAGACAGTTGGTGGATCCGTGGAAGCCGCCCCGGAAGTAGTGCCCTCAAAACGAAAACATTCCCTGAGTGATGCCAGCTACACCAGCGAATCCAGTGACCATAAACGCAAGTCGAAGCATTCGAGGAAACAACAGGAGCAGGAGAAACCAAGTGAAGTGCCAGAACCTCCACCAAAATCTCCAAAAATCTCACAGCAGGAGGAAAAATCACGTGATACCGAGACAGTCAAGGAAACTTCTACTAGTGCAGCTTCTCCGGGAGCTCCTGCCTCCGTGATTTCTGTGGTAGAGCTGGTCAAACGACGCCAGGGAGTTACGATTACAAAGATACCACGCGAGCAGCAACAAGTGGCAGCTGTGGAGGAGCCGCCAACTGCTCCTGTTCCACCTCCTCCGCCTCCCCCAACAGCTCCTCTTCAGACACCGGCAACCAAGCAAAGTGCACAAAAACGAACTGAAGCAGCCAATCCAAAGCAATCCGAGGTTGAAAGACAGCAACAACAGCTCATCAAAAAAGTTATTCCATTTATAGAAATTAAAACTGAAGTAATGTCGGAGCCAGACGAAGAGGAAGTGGGCGAAAGGCCAGCTTCTCCAGCTGATCAACTTCCTATGCAACAGGAGTCAAATATGGTTCAGCTTGAGTCTCAGCTGCCAGCTCCTTTGCCGACCCACTACGCAGCCCCAGCCAGTGGAGCATCCACCTCCCGAGGAAGTCAGAATCAAGGAGGAGATTCTCAGCGAGGATGAAATGGAAACGGATCAGCCCAGTGTTAGTCAGAGGTTCGAATCAATGCCACCCATGCCACTGCCTATGCCTCCGCCGCCTCCTCTGCCGCCTCGAGACGAAACACCCGCGACAGATGACCTGGTTCGATTTGTGGGCGATACCACCATCCAAAGGGTAAACCAGAAGCAGGTAAAATCCACGGATTTGCCGGGAAAACGTAAGGGAGTGCAACCAGTTCCACCGCAAGCTGCAAGCCCAGGCGGCATCCTCTCCAGCTCACTCGCCTGTCCAGTCTGCTGCTCCTTCACCTTCGGCATCGCCCAAGCCAAGTAGCAAACCACCACCACCACCACCGTCATCCAAGGGAAAGTCGCCGTCACAGCAGCAATTCCGCGGGAAAAACGACCGCAGGCCACCTTCTCCACCGGGAACTGCACCACCGGCCACCACCACCTCCTCCCTGCTCAGATCCAACATGGTGGTGATTCCTGTGGAGCAGCCGGGCAGCTGCAATCCGCACAGTCCCATGACCATCCCAGTTCCACCACTGAGAGCCGTTTCCAAGAGTACGTTGCAGAATACTTCTTGTCTTCCGTTGACCTGCCCACCCAGCAGCTCCATATCCATGCCGCCACCACTGGCCGGTTTGAGTGTTCCTCAAATGGCCAGCCACACATCACAGGAAGCCGGCAACGCGACAAACAGTGGAGAACCCGTCGGTGGTCTGCTGGCCAGCGCGTTGAACGGTTTGACGGCCGACCACCTAGCCAGTGAGTCTCTAATCCCCAATGATCCCATAACTCCGGGCCTGGCCACGGCCTTCAGTGAGATGCTCCTGCGTTCCGGTGTGCCAAAGTTGGTGGCTCGTCCCTGCGGGCCTCTTCGGTCAGATGGATCCCAAATCTATCCCTCACAGGCAGGACCCGTTTCGCAAAAACTCAAGGAGAATGCACACAAGGTATGTAAAATCCACTTCCGTGAAGCAGTATTAAAACATTCTCCCACAGATCACCGACTACTTCATCTCCGTCATCGAGGACACGCTCAGCGACATGGCCACTGGGGATCAGAGCGTCCTGCAAGCCCGAATCGCCGGACTGTCGCTGGAGAACGAGCGGCTGAAGCAGCACTACGAACGCCAGATGAACGACGTGCATCGCACTAGCGAACTGATGATCGCCGAGATGCGCAAGACGTTGGAGCAGGAGCACAAGCGTGTGATCAGCGAGCTGCGCCAGCAAAACGCCATGGAGCAGATGCGAGCGGTGGAGGAGGCCAAGAAGAAGCAGTGGTGCGCGAATTGCATGCGTGAGGCGCAGTTGTACTGCTGTTGGAACACCTCCTACTGCGACTATCCCTGCCAGCAGTTGCACTGGCCCAGGCACTCGGCCACCTGCGGCCAGGCTGTGCCACCCACGAATCCAGTGGCACCAATGGCTTCGGCTCCCCTTATAGATCCCGGGCGATCCAAAGCCAAGGTGGCCATGCCAACGGCAGCACCACAAATCACCAATCCCAGTCCAAGCTCGCAGATAATTCGAACGGCGGCCGCCTGTCCACCTGCAGCAGCAGCAGCTCCAGTGGCCAGCGGACAAAGCTCCAAGAAGTGGCCGCCCATGATGACGCTGATCAATCAGCCAAATCCGGAAGCCGTACTCAAGCTGCCCGCCACCACATATTTGCGGCCAGTGGTCAGCACAACGATGACAGCTACGGCGACGGCCTCGGCACCTGCTAATAACAACATCAGCAACAGCATGAACGTAATAATGACACCTACACCATCGGGCGGAAACCACCTGTCCAATCTCATGTCCGCTCAGCGGAATCCAACCAACTTCAGCCCCAAGCCCGCCAGTCAAACGATGCCCATACAGCGCTTTAATATCCCTGTAAGTTATTTTTAATGGAATTAAAGCCCCTATCGAATTTACTAACTTTGTCGAATTCTTTTTCAGTTACCCATCACCGTGAGCGCCAACGCTCCTTTTATGATCGCGGAGCAGCATCAAAAGCAGGTGCCAAAGACTACTGGTCGCAGCTCTGGTAAAAACAATAGCCGGGCACGCCAAGTTTACAGCAGCAACAGCAATCCGCAGGGTATGCGCAGCAGCAACAATCCGCAGGCTATGCGACAGAATCAAATGAATCAACAAGTGTTCCAGCCATAAATCGTGGACGACTAGCATGAGCATGAAGGGGTTCCACCTGGAAAGACTGCCTGAAATTCAGGAAACCATTTCTTTGATATTCCGGAGAAACTCAGAAACAGATAGATACTGATCAGCGCATATATTTGGGCTACATACCAACTTTGGAAACTTTTATATTTATTTCGATTTCCCCAGCGCAGCTATTGATGATGATTTGCTCTTAGATTAAGTTGAAGGACGAACGTGTAAAGTACCATTCAATAATTAGGTATAAGATTTCGATAAATGTTCTTGTAGTTTCGCTGGTTTTACTGTATAACCTAACCGCCTAGTGAGTAAGCATCATCGTAAAGCCATGAGATGGACTTTGCATAAACATAAGGTCATCGCACTTTTCATTTTATTTTACTCATGCTGTAAATTGTTTGTCATCTGTTTTAAATACATTTTATGTATATTTAAAGCAAAGCTGCAAAGTGAATTAAGAATAAACGAATACATACATTTTTTGAGTTATAAATTTTAGAAACAGTGTTGTAGATTTGCAAAATGAAGTTGTACATTTGGAAATGGAGTTGTAGATTTGTAAATGGAGTTGTAAATTTGGGAAATGGAGTTGTAGATTTGGAAATGGAGTTGTAGATTTGGAAAAATGGGTTGTAAATTTGGAAATGGAGTTGTAGAATTGGAAATGGAGCTGTAAATTTGGAAATGGAGTTGTAGAATTGGAAAAATTGGTTGTACATTTTGAAATGGAGTTGTAAATTTTGAAAATGGAGTTGTAGATTTCGAAATGAAGTTGTACATTTTGGAAATGGAGTTGTAGATTTGGAAATGGAGTTGTACATTTTGGGAATGGAGTTGTAGATTTGGAAAAATGGGTTGTAAATTTGGAAATGGAGTTGTAGAATTGGAAATGGAGCTGTTCATTTTGGAAATGAAGTTGTAGAATTGGAAAAATTGGTTATAAATTTTGAAATAGAGTTGTAGATTTGGAAAAATGGGTTGTAAATTTGGAAATGGAGTTGTAGATTTCGAAATGGAGTTGTAAATTTGGAAATGGAGTTGTACATTTTGGGAATGGAGTTGTAGATTTGGAAAAATGGGTTGTAAATTTGGAAATGGAGTTGTAGAATTGGAAATGGAGTTGTAAATTTGGAAATGGAGTTGTAGATTTGGAAAAATGGGTTGTAAATTAGAAAATGGAGTTGTAGAATTGGACAAATTGGTTGTAAATTTGGAAATGGAGTTGTAGATTTGGAAAAATGGGTTGTAAATTTGGAAATGGAGTTGTAGATTTGGAAAAATGGGTTGTAAATTAGAAAATGGAGTTGTAAATTGGTTGTAAATTTGGAAATGGAGTTGTAGATTTGGAAAAGTGGGTTGTAAATGTGGAAACGGAGTTGTAGAATTGGAAAAATGGGTTGTACATTTGGAAATGGAGTTGTAGATTTGGAAAAATGGGTTGTAAATTAGAAAATGGAGTTGTAAATTAGTTGCAAATTGGTTGTAAATTTGGAAATGGAGTTGTAGATTTGGAAAAATGGGTTGTAAATTTGGAAATGGAGTTGTAGATTTCGAAATAGAGTTGTAGATTTGGAAAAATGGGTTGAAAATTTGGAAATGGAGTTGTAGAATTAGAAAAATGGGTTGTAAATTTGGAAATGGAGTTGTAGAATTGGAAATGGAGCTGTTCATTTTGGAAATGAAGTTGTAGAATTGGAAAAATTGGTTGTAAATTTTGAAATAGAGTTGTAGATTTGGAAAAATGGGTTGTAAATTTGGAAATGGAGTTGTAGATTTCGAAATGGAGTTGTAAATTTGGAAATGGAGTTGTACATTTTGGGAATGGAGTTGTAGATTTGGAAAAATGGGTTGTATATTTGGAAATGGAGTTGTAGAATTGGAAATGGAATTGTAAATTTGGAAATAGAGTTGTAGAATTGGAAAAATTGGTTATAAATTTTGAAATAGAGTTGTAGATTTGGAAAAATGGGTTGTAAATTTGGAAATGGAGTTGTAGATTTCGAAATGGAGTTGTAAATTTGGAAATGGAGTTGTACATTTTGGGAATGGAGTTGTAGATTTGGAAAAATGGGTTGTAAATTTGGAAATGGAGTTGTAGAATTGGAAATGGAGTTGTAAATTTGGAAATGGAGTTGTAGATTTGGAAAAATGGGTTGTAAATTAGAAAATGGAGTTGTAGAATTGGAAAAATTGGTTGTAAATTTGGAAATGGAGTTGTAGATTTGGAAAAATGGGTTGTAAATTTGGAAATGGAGTTGTAGATTTGGAAAAATGGGTTGTAAATTAGAAAATGGAGTTGTAAATTGGTTGTAAATTTGGAAATGGAGTTGTAGATTTGGAAAAGTGGGTTGTAAATGTGGAAACGGAGTTGTAGAATTGGAAAAATGGGTTGTACATTTGGAAATGGAGTTGTAGATTTGGAAAAATGGGTTGTAAATTAGAAAATGGAGTTGTAAATTAGTTGCAAATTGGTTGTAAATTTGGAAATGGAGTTGTAGATTTGGAAAAATGGGTTGTAAATTTGGAAATGGAGTTGTAGATTTCGAAATAGAGTTGTAGATTTGGAAAAATGGGTTGAAAATTTGGAAATGGAGTTGTAGAATTAGAAAAATGGGTTGTAAATTTGGAAATGGAGTTGTAGAATTGGAAATGGAGCTGTTCATTTTGGAAATGAAGTTGTAGAATTGGAAAAATTGGTTGTAAATTTTGAAATAGAGTTGTAGATTTGGAAAAATGGGTTGTAAATTTGGAAATGGAGTTGTAGATTTCGAAATGGAGTTGTAAATTTGGAAATGGAGTTGTACATTTTGGGAATGGAGTTGTAGATTTGGAAAAATGGGTTGTATATTTGGAAATGGAGTTGTAGAATTGGAAATGGAATTGTAAATTTGGAAATGGAGTTGTAGAATTGGAAAAATTGGTTGTAAATTAGAAAATGGAGTTGTAGAATTGGAAAAATTGGTTGTAAATTTGGAAATGGAGTTGTAGATTTGGAAAAATGGGTTGTAAATTTGGAAATGGAGTTGTAGATTTGGAAAAATGGGTTGTAAATTTGGAAATGGAGTTGTAGATTTGGAAAAATGGGTTGTAAATTAGAAAATGGAGTTGTAGAATTGGAAAAATTGGTTGTAAATTTGGAAATGGAGTTGTAGATTTGGAAAAATGGGTTGTAAATTTGGAAATGGAGTTGTAGATTTGGAAAAATGGGTTGTAAATTAGAAAATGGAGTTGTAAATTGGTTGTAAATTTGGAAATGGAGTTGTAGATTTGGAAAAATGGGTTGTAAATTAGAAAATGGAGTTGTAGAATTGGAAAAATGGGTTGTAAATGTGGAAACGGAGTTGTAGAATTGGAAAAATGGGTTGTACATTTGGAAATAGAGTTGTAGATTTGGAAAAATGGGTTGTAAATTTGGAAATGGAGTTGTAGATTTGGAAAAATGGATTGTAAATTAGAAAATGGAGTTGTAGAATTGGAAAAATGGGTTGTAAATTTGGAAACGGAGTTGTAGAATTGGAAAAATGGGCTGTAAATTTGGAAATGGAGTTGTAGATTTGGAACAATTGGTTGTAAGTTTGGAAATGGAGTTGTAGATTTGGAAAAATGGCTTGTAAATTAGAAAATAGAGTTCTAGAATTGGAAATGGAGTTGTAGAATTGGAAAAATGGGTTGTAAATTTAGAAATGGAGTTGTAGATTTGGAAAAATTGCTTGCAAATTTGGAAATCGAGTTGTAGATTTGGAAAAATGGGTTGTAAATGTGGAAATGGAGTTGTAGATTTGGAAAAATGGGTTGTAAATGTGGAAATGGAGTTGTAGAATTGGAAAAATGGGTTGTAAATTTGGAAACGGAGTTGTAGAATTGGAAAAATGGGTTGTAAATTTGGAAATGGAGTTGTAGATTTGGAAAAATGGGTTGTAAATTAGAAAATGGAGTTGTAAATTGGTTGCAAATTGGTTGTAAATTTGGACATGGAGTTGTAGATTTGGAAAAATGGGTTGTAAATGTGGAAACGGAGTTGTAGAATTGGAAAAATGGGTTGTAAATTTGAAAATGGAGTTGTAGATTTGGAAAAATGGGTTATAAATTAGAAAATGGAGTTGTAGAATTGGAAAAATGGGTTGTAAATTTGGAAATGGAGTTGTAGATTTGGAAAAGTGGGTTGTAAATTAGAAAATGGAGTTGTAAATTGGTTGCAAATTGGTTGTAAATTTGGAAATGGAGTTGTAGATTTGGAAAAATGGGTTGTAAATGTGGAAACGGAGTTGTAGAATTGGAAAAATGTGTTGTACATTTGGAAATGGAGTTGTAGATTTGGAAAAATTGGTTGTAAATTTGGAAACGGAGTTGTAGATTTGGAAAAATGGGTTGTAAATTAGAAAATGGAGTTGTAGAATTATAAATGGAGTTGTAGAATTGGAAAAATGGGTTGTAAATTTGGAAACGGAGTTGTAGATTTGTAAATTAGTAGTGTAGTAGAATTGGAAAAATGGGTTGTAAATTCGGAAACGGAGTTGTAGAATTGGAAAAATGGATTGTAAATTTGGAAATGGAGTTGTAGATTTGGAAAAATGGGTTGTAAGTTAGAAAATGGAGTTGTAGAATTGGTAAAATGGGTTGTAAATTTGGAAACGGAGTTGTAGAATTGGAAAAATGGGTTGTAAATTTGGAAATGGAGTTGTAGATTTGGAAAAATGGATTGTAAATTAGAAAATGGAGTTGTAGAATTGGAAAAATGGGTTGTAAATTTGGAAACGGAGTTGTAGAATTGGAAAAATGGGCTGTAAATTTGGAAATGGAGTTGTAGATTTGGAACAATTGGTTGTAAGTTTGGAAATGGAGTTGTAGATTTGGAAAAATGGCTTGTAAATTAGAAAATAGAGTTGTAGAATTGGAAATGGAGTTGTAGAATTGGAAAAATGGGTTGTAAATTTAGAAATGGAGTTGTAGATTTGGAAAAATTGCTTGTAAATTTGGAAATCGAGTTGTAGATTTGGAAAAATGGGTTGTAAATGTGGAAATGGAGTTGTAGATTTGGAAAAATGGGTTGTAAATGTGGAAATGGAGTTGTAGAATTGGAAAAATGGGTTGTAAATTTGGAAACGGAGTTGTAGAATTGGAAAAATGGGTTGTAAATTTGGAAATGGAGTTGTAGATTTGGAAAAATGGGTTGTAAATTAGAAAATGGAGTTGTAAATTGGTTGCAAATTGGTTGTAAATTTGGACATGGAGTTGTAGATTTGGAAAAATGGGTTGTAAATGTGGAAACGGAGTTGTAGAATTGGAAAAATGGGTTGTAAATTTGAAAATGGAGTTGTAGATTTGGAAAAATGGGTTGTAAATTAGAAAATGGAGTTGTAGAATTGGAAAAATGGGTTGTAAATTTGGAAATGGAGTTGTAGATTTGGAAAAGTGGGTTGTAAATTAGAAAATGGAGTTGTAAATTGGTTGCAAATTGGTTGTAAATTTGGAAATGGAGTTGTAGATTTGGAAAAATGGGTTGTTAATGTGGAAACGGAGTTGTAGAATTGTAAAAATGGGTTGTACATTTGGAAATGGAGTTGTAGATTTGGAAAAATTGGTTGTAAATTTGGAAATGGAGTTGTAGATTTGGAAAAATGGGTTGTAAATTAGAAAATGGAGTTGTAGAATTGGAAATGGAGTTGTAGAATTGGAAAAATGGGTTGTAAATTTGGAAACGGAGTTGTAGATTTGGAAAAATGGGTTGTAAATTAGAAAATGGAGTTGTAGAATTATAAATGGAGTTGTAGAATTGGAAAAATGGGTTGTAAATTCGGAAACGGAGTTGTAGAATTGGAAAAATGGATTGTAAATTTGGAAATGGAGTTGTAGATTTGGAAAAATGGGTTGTAAGTTAGAAAATGGAGTTGTAGAATTGGTAAAATGGGTTGTAAATTTGGAAACGGAGTTGTAGAATTGGAAAAATGGGTTGTAAATTTGGAAATGGAGTTGTATATTTGGAAAAATTGGTTGTAAATTTGGAAATGGAGTTGTAGATTTGGAAAAATTGGTTGTAAATTTGGAAATGGAGTTGTAGATTTGGAAATGGAAATCTCAATTAGCACAATGCCCCTGCAAAGGGTATTATAATTTTGGACGTCTATATCCTATATCTTGCCGAAGTTAGCTTCCGTCCTCGTTAATGATTTAATTTTGTTTTTTTTTTATTTACTGCCAAGTGAAATCTTTTACAAACAAAAACAATTTTGTTTACCAATTGCTCAATCAATGTCCAATTTCTTGAAGTTTCCCTCAATACCAAAAAGATCCGAAGCAGATTTGGCTTTGCCGGGTCGCAGTTTTTCGTTCACCTGATGGCGAGTCTCAAATTCAAGCATTTCCTTTTGATTGTCCAGCAACTTTTTGTAGTAAATTTCTGTGAAAATAGTACATATTTGATAAAATTACGTTGATGATTCAGGTTCTTAGCTCACCTTTGGCCAAGTTGGTCTCTTCAACTTCACCGCCGTATTCCTTAGGGAGCATTTTCTTCGGCACAAACTTATAGAATTCCTTCAAGTCACTGTGCATATGTAGTACAGTGGTCAGTTCCTTTTTCATAAAAGGAGTCATTAGCGCCAGAATCTTGTCCATGAAAGGTACAATGTTAATAAAGTGAAAGCCTATAAGCCTGATGGCAGCTGCTTCCTGAAATATTCCTATTTGTATTATCTTTCTTAAAATTTTTGTATGTTTCTTTATCACCTGCAGATAAAATAGAAACTTTTTCATTTGCAAAAGGCCAATTCGAGCTACATGTCCCAAAGATGTGTTTTTCAGATCGATAACAATGACGTGTCCTGGCTGAATTCCATCCTCATACATCCAAAAGTCAAATACCATGCAATATCTGAAAGTGGAACATGAAAAGTTATTTAAATATAATTTTTATTTTTGAAGATTTCAAATTCGAAAAGATAGATCTTTTTCTAAGTGCATCAACAGAGACATCCCTGAACTACACCCTTGTATGTCAAGCTTGCTTAATTGTTATTTCTTAATTGTCTGCTATTATGCAGCAGATTATAATGATCGTACAGTAGTCGGTGGTTTTTGAGTACCTGTAGATTAAGGCAAAGCTCCCCAGTATTTCAGTAAGTATCTCTGTATCCGGGGAACGGCGAAATGTGTCGTGCGTGCTTGTTGGTTTAAGTTTTCAGTTCGGACCTTTAATCTCTTCATGCTCCGTATGCCTTGTCATAATCACGCCACAACTGACGTGTAAATATAGCTCAAATGTCAATAATTGACAGCCATTAATATTGAAGTTCAGTTAAACAAGTGTTTGCAAATTATATGTAACTATTTTAAGATGGAAGATATCTAAGGTATCTAATCTACGACTCATATTTATAAGGATACCAACATTTATTAGTTATTGTTATAATGTTTATATTATAATGTTTAAGAATTAGTCTATAATTTACTTACAGTTTCATAACATCTGCAAAGTTATAGTTGGAGGTATTCAAGTCATCGAGCTTAGCGAGAATCACACGATATCCTTCGGGTGTGGCCCCTGGCAGAGGGACAATGGAACTACAAATATATGAGGAAATGATATCTTAAGTCAAGTTAATACTAGTGCCAGGATACAACCTACACAGTTCGCATAGCTCGCCTGATCTCAGGGCGCTCGCAGTCGAGGTTCACGAAGAACTCCTCCAGGTGGGTGCGGGCCGTGAGATTGGTATCGAGGACCTGCTTGGCCACCTCCATGCTGTTGCGGCAGGCGTGGAAGAAGTGCAAGGCTTCGCCCTCCGAAAACCTATCCGAGATGTGCGGCTGGGCGTGGATCCAGTCCAAAAACTTTACCACTTCCGATCGCCTGATCTCCGGAAAACGCTCATACTGATCCTCCAAATTGGCCTCCTTCATGTTGGGAATGGGACTTACTTTTGATTGTTGCGCTACTTGGCCCGAAACGCGTTTGAGCGCGGTCAACTCTCGAATGAAATGGAAATGGAAGCTGGTTGCTTTCGCAAGTGAAACTGGTTGGCCGTCTGACTTGGCTTTTTGCGAATTCGGCATGCAATTCCGTGAGTTCGGGATGGGATCGGGAATCGGGAGGTTTTTTGGGGCGGGGAGTTGGGGATCTCGAAGCTTGGACTAGCATGTGTTCAGGAAAAACTAGCAATGGCTTGCGTTAGTCACACGGACAGAAAAAACACTGAACTTTTAATTAAAAAATAATCAAAAATTCTCAAATCCTATTACTGGGTAAAAACATTTTGTTTTGTAAATCCTAGTATTATAAGGGGAAAAAAAATTACCAACCGTTTTACAATGAACTTGAATATGATTTCATTTTGTTATAAAAAACTTCTGAAACCTTTGTTTTCGGTGTATTTGTCATCGGTTCATTTCACTTCACTTCCATCAGTCTGCGTGAAAATGCATTTTTTTCATCCGCCTGTTGCTGCCGTACGGTTATTATTATATTTTTTCTCTCTCCTCGGGATTGCATAACATGTGATCAAGTGATTGGGCGGCCGATCCATGACGAGGGGCCTATTATTATTTCGCATGGCGTGTGCTTCGGAGATCAAGAGATTTCAGCTCCTTCATCAAATCCAAAATGTGACGCTTGACTGGCGAAAGGAAATTATTTTTGTATAAATTAATGAAAATAAATAAAGATATAAGATTGAAGAATTTTGTAGAGTTTTGACATATACATGATATTGAAGAATTTAATTATTTGTCCGAAGGAAAAATTAAAGCTGTTGATTAGAAGGTTTTGCTTAGCACAACTAAAGTAATTAGCAAACCATTTTTTCGCAGCTTAAAAAAATGGCCAAAAGTGGCAAATATTGCACAATACTTAAAAAAATTTAAAGAATCCTTCTGCCAAATAAGATGTCACAACCCATTCGAGTTTCTAGAGTTGCAAAGCCAGTACGTGTGTCAACTTCGTCTTCGACTTTATCCGCAGAGTCTAGCTGCCACAACGGCCTCATTTCCGCGGCAGACACTTGACATTTTGCCAACAGCAGACACCAGCCAGCCACTCAGCCGGTCAGAAAAGCAAACCTGGCTAGGCAGCCTGTGGCTGGAGTTATAACCAAGCACTGGAAAAAAACACTACTAATTATATGTGGCGAAAATTGAGGATGAAGGATTTAAGGCAAAAGAGAATTTCTCTTCTGAGTGCATTCTTATTTTTTATGCAACCTGACCCAGAATTATTTTTAAATTTAAATTTAATGAATTAATTGTATATTTTTCTTGGCTTGGGTAAAGATATTTTCTCTCCGTGTGGCTGTGGCATGCTTCGCTCAGTTAAAACAGCCGGTGCGCCACTTTGGCGTGTCTGAAATTCCAAACGGATTAGAAGCCGCGCGCAAAGAGCAAACGGCAAACTGCAAATGTTTGCTGCCAATGGCAACCAGTTTTTGAGCTTGCGAGGAGTGGAATCTGCGGGAAGACCAAGGGGATGGATCCACGGGAGGAGGCGGAGTGGACTTCTGTTTTATTTTGGACCACTGGGGGCACAGGTGTCGTGGTGTCAGCCTCCAGTGTCAAACTAGGTGCCAATCCGAAATTAATTATACATCCCAAAGTCTAAGCTCGAATCGAAGCTCGAATTGCACGTGGGGGTCAGGTGCACTCAAAGATCTCTGACAAGGGCAACGTTTTGGATGACCTGGGATCATTAAAAATGCATAGTTTTATGATTAAAGTATAATTTGAGTTGATTATCTTGAAAGAATAAATAGAATATATTCATTTTTTGAACATTTTTTAAGCTTTTTAAAAAAAAATAGTACATATAGTACTTATGTTCAATGGAATTCTTCTGACAAACTATCCTTAGTATTTTTTAGCCTTTTAAGACCATATTTGCAGTGTGCTAGCTCACGCACCACCAATAATGGTGACCCAAAAAAATCAATCGCAGGAATGCCTGCATGCTAATCGTGGATCAGGTTTCTCCGAAGACCACGATGATGATGATAATGATGATCGCATGGTGGTGACAACATCGTTTTGGCGACGTGCGTTCTTTTAATGTTGCCGTCATGCACCGAGTCCTACGAGTAAGTTGCCTTTTTGGAACCCCAGCTCTCCGTCCTCCTTGGTTTCTTCGACTTGAGCTCTTCTCGAGCTCTTTCTCCGGCTGTTATGGCTGGTTGTTATTTGTTCCCTGGCCATTTTTCACGCATTTGACTGCATTACTTAACCTCAATTTGGCAGACGACGTGCATCAACTTGCCACACTCCCATTCCCGACGGCCAACCCAACTCCCCACTACCCACTCCCCACTTTCGAGCCAACGGTTGCGTTTCCGTTGGCCACCAGAGCTCCGTTGAACAAATGAAGTTGTCGCGTCGGCTTACAGCAATTTGCATATTCCCCGCCCCGCCCACGGATCCCCTTTTCGGGGAGAGCGGATCCTGTCCAGCCCCGGTTGTCCATTTCAATTGTCGATCGATCGCAAAGAGCCCTGACTCATTTGTACACTGTTGTAGATTGGTCTTGCAAACTTTTTTAAGAACTTACATTTAAGTTCGAAAAATCCAATATTTGAAATCTGTAATACCTAAACCCAAATAAAAGTTGACATAAACGATGATAGATATTTTGGTAATATCAATTTTCAATATCAATTCTTTGATTCGGTTTAATAAAAGATAAAAATGTGTTAAAGTATTAGTCATGACTTAGTAACTACTTAACTTTATGCATAATGTATCAGCTGCCCTACCTCCCCGTGGTCAAACATATCCTCTAACAATTAACGGGGGATTGAATTTGGGTTTTGGGTTAGTCTTATTTGTGGGTTGGGGCAACTCCTATCCAACCACGCGTTCGTCGCTCGCCGGCTGAAAAAAGCTTCAATTGTTCTCCCAAACTGGTTTTGCGCATGCGCGCCTTTTTTGTTTTTCTTTTTCGATTGTATTTTATTCGGTGTTGGTCGCTTTTTTTGTGTTATTTTAGCGGTTTTTGTTTTGATTTCTGATTGCCGTTCGAATGTCTTTTTCAGCCCGAAGTTGCTGTTGCGGTCGCTGGTGTTGCTTTGCTTTTTGTGCTGCTGCTGCCGTTGGCCACATTTATTTACGGTGGCAAGTGTCGCTTGACAAATTGATTTTGATTTGTTTGGTCTTTTTTTCGCCTTTTCTGTTTTGTCTTACTTTGTATTTTGTCCGCCGGTAATGGGAGGTTTTTGTTAGAGGGGCTTGGCAACCTTGAATCGACTGCAACTTCGCCCAGGTAACATGACAACTTGAAAAGCCATTAAATTGCTTTAGTTCCCAGCCGAACAGGAAGAGGAATCAACAGCAATATCCATCCAATTATCGCTTCCTTCGTAGCATTCAAATTGGAAATCAAATAGCAACAGTTGAATGCACTCAATGGAAAGCGATTTCGGTTCGCGGGGGTGGAGGGTGCGGCCTTGCAGTGGGGTGGGGTGGAATCGGGACCGGGAATTGGAAAACTCGGGGGTAACTGTGCATTACACGCTCGTTGGCATCCTGTTTCATGCAACAGCAAGCAACAGGATGCCGCACAAACATTCCGAAAGCCGAGGGTTGCTCTGCCCTGCACTGGGAAAAAGTGATCAAAAGTTAACTTCTTCCGAAATTACTTGTGAAAAAAATACAACAAATACTCTAAATATATATCATAAATATTTTATTATACTTCGCCAAAAAGAGTGGGGAAATTAGCAATCAATCTAGACTAGTACTTTAACGAAGAGAGACTAGAAGAACTATAATCTCATCTAATGCATCAACTAGTTTAAGAACAACTAAATAAAATTAAATTAGATTGCACAGAATTATTATTACAATGAATACAAAATTATTTTTCCCAGTGTTCTCTGCCCTAAATGGCCCTCGAAAAGCCAACCAAAGTCAGTTACAAGTGACTGCCAAACAAAGCCCGTCCATCCAACACCGATCCATTCCAGCCATCCATCCACTCAGCGATCGCACAAAAGAACCGAGCACAATGCATTAGGGCCCTCTGAATGAAAAAAGAAGAAAGCTATAAGGAGCAGGGACACCGAACCCCGAAGCCCCGAACAAAGGAAGACCAGTCGTGCGTCTCAAAAATCCTTAAGCCGCAGAAAACGAACAAGGAACATGGAATACTCGTATTCATCAACGGACGAACACCTGATGATGACTTTGACTGCGACACCTGAACGTTAAAAATGATAATTAGATGGTCTAGCAACCCTCGAAAGACAGACAGACGTTACAATCGCCCAGGTAAACAAAGTAATGGTGGTGGAATCTCAGTTGGCTCTTCTTCCTTATCGAGTTTCCTTACCCGTAGTGCCAAGTGATCGTTTGACTATATAAATGTTGTCATCCAGGGGTGGTTGAAGAAAGACTAGGATATTCGGAGCCTCTTCCAGACATTCCACCCCTGGTGGACTCGCTTGAGAAGAGCGCCCAGCGCTCTAATTAGTGGCCGCCAAGAGGCAACAGTGCATCGTAAAAATATGCGCATATCAAGAACTCCTATCTACATAATTATTAATTCAATATTTCCTGCCAGCTCTTGCGCCCCAGTTTCTTTGTCTCCTCTTGAAGACTTGCAACTCTTAAGAATAAAGAAAGAAACTCAGCGAAGGGAAAGGAAACGAGCACTTGACTTCAAGGACCAGCGATACAACGGAATGAAAGGGGAGTTGTTCTCAACAGCCGGATGGTGATCAAATAAGATCAGAAGAGAAAGCACGCGAAAGGAAGTTCTGGATGGGACTTGCCACTAAAGAAAGTCGCTTGAAAAGAAAGGAAATAAGAAGAGTGGTAAACAGTTGTAAGCTTACAGGATTTTATATAAGAAATTTAGTATGAAATAAATGAAATTTCTTAAAAGAACGAATTAAGTATTGTATGATCTTTTCAAGCTCATTTTATTGTATCTCCTCGGG